CCCCCTCCCCCAATCTCTCTTCCCCTCCCCCCACCTCTGTGCCCCTCCCCCAAGACCTCTGGGTCCCCCTACCCCCAAACCTCTGTGCCCTTTCACACCCCCATATGCCCCTGCCCCAGATCTCTGTGCTGCTCATGCCATGATTAGAGACCCCACACTCGGTCGGGTGTCTGCCTTGGTGCATCTTCCCCCCGTTCTGACCCTGCTGCCACTGGGGGCACCAGTCCATGAGCTGCTCAGGTTTTGAGGTTCCTCCCCAGAGCGTGTGACCCCCGACCCAGCGACCCCAGCGCCCTCCGTTCCGTGCTGTCCTGCCCGGGCCTGGCCCTGCGGCACCAAAGCCGTGTCCCTCGGAGGCGGGATCTCCGTGATGGGATGGGCACCGAGAAGACCCGGCAGGAGCCTAGGAGGAGGCCCATGAGCTCACAGAATGTCAGTGCCAATGAACCCGTTCCCCTCCAGCCCCACCCACACCTCCGGCTCCCTAGTCCGGGCAAAGGGCTGGGGCTGCCTTCTGTTCGGTGCCTCTCCTTCCGCTGGATACGCCTGGGCGGTCTCTGTCCGGTGGGGGGTCGGTGTCCCTGATGCCAGAACCATCCTTGGATCCCGGGCAGCAGTGAGGCCGAGGGCGGACGGGGCGGTGATTCCAGGGTGGGGTGGGCTGTGGTTGTACTGTGCGGAGGAGCCGTTGGTGTCCAGGACTGCTCGCCACACGCGCCGTGTTGGTTTCAGCCACTGCCTGTCCGGTCTCGGGGTCCCCTCCCACACAGCCATACGGAGCGGGCTGGGGTTTTGGGACCCTCAGGAGGAGAATTCATGGCTCAGGCCCATCGGTGATTTCCAGCCCCCGGTGCCCCGTTTGACAGACCCCTGCTCTGGTGCCCGTGGCCTGGGGTCCCGCTACTGCAGAAGCCAGGGAGAGTTTTGCCGTTGACTTCAATTGAGCCGCGATTTGGGTGCATCGCGTGTGAAGCCAGAAGGAACCTTGAGAACGCCTTGTCTGAGCTCCTCTGTATCGTGGGCCAGAGCATTGCACCGTGACCCCCATATCGAGCCCAGTCCCTTGTGCGTGACTAACGCAGTGGTTTTCGGCCACTAGGGATCCACAGACTGTGTCTAAGGGGTCCATGAAAGGTTCTTGCTGCCATAGAACAGTGACTTTTGACCTGGGAGCCGTCAGCTGTAAGATTTCCAAATGGCTCTGCACCTCCATTTGAAATAGTTCAGGACCCTGCAAGTGAAAAACGGTTGAAAATCCCTGGGCTAAAGCATCTTCCAGAAGGGCATTGCCGGGTCTAGATTAGAAGACAGCCAGAAACAGGATTCCACCTGGTAGCTTGATCCCCCAGGCCTCCCTTGGTGTCTGAAGTTGTGATCATAAAACCAATGGAGCCATGTTTGTGCAAATTGGGGTCTAAAATGTTAGAGATTGTATTTATTAACAGGCAAAACCAGAAGAGCTTTAAAGACACAAATGTGATGTCTTTATTTCCTGCTTTGCCCCTCCTGTTTGTTCTGGCATCAGAGAACCATAGATTCAAGGGCATTTGGGGACCACTGGGGTACGCTAGTCCGAGCTCCCGCATGACGAAGGCCAGAAAGTTGCCCCCAAAATAATCCCTAGAGCAGATCCTGTAGAAAAACCTCTCATCTCGGTTTGAAAACAGACGGTGGAGACTCCACCACAGCTCTTGGTAAATCGTTAGTTACTCACACCGTTGAAAACACAGGCCTTATTTCCAGTCTGAATTTGTCTAGCTTCAACTTCCACCCATTGGATCGTGTTGGGCCTCTCTCTGCTAGATTGACGAGCCCAGTATTAAATATTTGTTCTCGGAATAACATCTTGACGTGTAGACACCTAGATCTTTGCCATCAATCCTGAGATGGAGGGTGTCTTAAATATTAACCAGCCTTCTACATGACAAGAAGCAAAGGGCTTAAACTGCAGCAAGGGAGGTGTAGGTTGGACATTAGGAAGAACTTCCTGCCTGTCAGGGTGGTTAAACACTGGAATAAATTGCTTGGGGAGGTTGTGGAATCTCCATCACTGGAGATATTCAAGAGCAGATTAGGCAGACACCTGTCAGGGATGGTCTAGACCGTGCTTGGTCCTGCCATGGGGGCAGGGGACTGGACTTGGTGCCTCTCGAGGTCCCTTCCAGTTCTAATGTTCTATGATTCTTATGCCTGGGCTAGTGACTATTTGTGATGGGCAAGTAAAATATCACTAGTTCCCCACCTGCCCTTATGTTTCTTGCTGTTTAGGTAAAGGATGTTAAGCATTGGGTAATGGCTAATTGAATAGTCGATGAATTTTGCATCAACTATTCGATTAGTCGATAGGGCTGTGGCTACACTTCGAAGGCGAAAGCGCCATGTGGAGCCCGGGGTCAGCTGATCCCGGGCTCCACGTGGTGCTGCCACTTTGAAATGCCGGGAGGAGCCTGACGCCAGGCTCCCCATGGCATTTCAAAGTGGCAGCGCTGCCACGGCTTTGCTACTTTGGAACGCCATGTGCAGCCTTGGGATACCCAAGCGGTCCTCAGGCTGCACGTGGCTTTTCAGAGCGGCAGTGCCGCGTGCAGTCCGGGGTCTGGCCTCACGCTCCATGTACCTCCTCTTCTCCCTCCCCCTTGCTGCTTCTTATCTGATAGAGGCAGCAAGCAGAGGAGGAAGCGACTAGTCGACTAATCCTTCAGATCCCTAGTTTAGGTTCTTGTTCCTGAGTGTCTTTCTCATCATCATGAAGACTGATTATTATATGAGCTAGCTGAGCCCCACCTCGCGTCCGTGCAGCGGGCTGAGAGAGGCAGAGATGGGAGGATGCGGTGGCGAGGGGGGACAGGCGAGCGGTGGCACCGGGGACAGGCATGGGGCAGGGCAGGGTGCAGGAAGATCTAGGGGGCACTGGCTGACCCAGGGTGCAGGGAGACTTGCGGGGCTGAGGGAGGGATGGGCGAAGCACAACGGGCAAGGACTTACCGCCAGCCCCACCACTTGCAGCAGCTCCCGCTTCTCTTTGTCCCCGGGCTGATGTGCCACTCGGAGAAGTCAGCGTGCCGCAGCAGCAGCTGCTCGATGGACCGCGAGGCACTGCCCTCTCTGGGCTCTGTTGCCCCCACCTGCCGGACAGGCTGCCCCCGAGGCGCTGGAGCAGCTCAGGGCCCTGGCCCGCCAGCCACCTACCCCAGCAATCACAGGTCTCCATGGTACCACAACCCCCAGCTCCTGCCGCACCTGCTGGCCACTTGCATTTTTCTCCCGCACACCCCATGGTGCTGCTTTTCAACCGTGTCGTCCCCCTTTGGAGCCGGGACATGGGGAGTTCTGGTGTATTCCTGTGTTCTCTGTGACAGGCGGCGTGACAGACACCTTTCCTCGAACACCAGTATTGCCCGGCAGCATCAGAGACACCTTTGCACCAGGTGTTGTTGAGTTCCTGTATTCTCCGAGGCTCCACGCTGCCCCCTGCAGGCTGGAATGGGACGTGTCTGGCCCACCCCAAACCACTAAAACTCTGCTGCTGGTAGTTCCCTGCCCTGACAGCTGGCGAAGGGCAGACCAGGGAGTGGCACTGAGGCCTCGTGCTGTATGTGCCCTGCCCTGGCGACTGCTGTTCGTCCTGCCTGTGGCTGCGCTTAGCAACCCGCAGCTGCTGCGTAAGCTCTGCACAGCCGGGCGCTTCCTCCCAGCTGCCTTGGAATTCCTCTGTCGCTGCCTTTGTTCTTACGGCAGAGATGCAGCGGGATGCCTGTGGCTTGGCAGGCCTGGGCATCAGCTCTCTCAAATCGGGTGGCTCTTTGGATGGAGCCCTTCGGAGGTCGGTGATTCAACATGGGGTATTGCCTCCTCAGAGGCAGTCCTGCCCCCTGGTGGGGGGGTGGAAGTGGGTCTTTCTGGGGCAGTTACACCTG